TTTAGATATTTTTTAAATTCAAAATGAATTTAGACAAGTAATCTTAATGAAAGTTGAAGAATATTTTTAAACAATTAACTTTTCAAATTATTTTTATATATAAAAAATGATATAATATATTCTTAATATAAAATAGTTAAATATTTAATCAAATATTAAGTAAAAAAAATATTATAATATTTTAATGTAATATAATATTATATTTATAATCTTTTTTATTAAGTAAAAATGTTTTTAGTTAAATCTACATCTATTTATAATAAAATATAAAATTTTCTTTGAATATTAATTTTTTTTTTTTTTAATACTTATCTTTATATTTAATTTTTATTTAAATAAATTCTTATATTTGATATTTTTATATAAAAATAATTAAAAAGAGAATAAAATTAAAATTTGATTTATTTATAATTAATATTCTTTTAAAATTTACTAGTATAAATGAATTATATAATTTTTATAAATTTAAAGATAATTTAAAGATTATTAAACAATAAGTAATTTATTTTGAAATATATAAAAACAATTTATAATTTTATAATTTTATATTTTTTTGAAAAAAATTTTTTTTTAATAGTAAATATAATATTAATTTAAATTTTATAAAAATATAATAAAGAAAAATAACAAATAGAAAAAATAAGTAAAAATATTTATATTATATTATTAATTTATATTATAATTATAATTAAATCATTTTATTAAATAAGTAAAATTGTTTAAATTTAATAAATTTTAAATTTATTCTCAGATTAATTTTAAATTTATCAAAAATTTAATGTTATTATTCTGCTAAAGCTATTTTATTAATTCTCTTCTTTTTCAAATCAGACAATAATTTATAATTATTAGTATTTTGAAATTCTGTATAACTTTTAATACCATTTGGTAAACTAGGAAGTATTCCTCTTGTTATATAAACTTTAACAGGTAATGATAACTTCTTTTCCTCTTGAGATAATTCCATCCTTAACATTTCATTAATAGTAAATTTAATACATCTTTTTTGATTCTTACTTAAAGAAACAAATTCTTTTGATTTTTCATATTTTAATAGACGTTTAGCAGGAAATTCATTTATTAAATGATTGAATGCTGAATCTACAAGTTTTTTATTTTTCAACTTCTCAACAGTTTCCAAAACTTTTGCGTGAATTTTTTGATTGTTAGTTAATATTTGCCTAGATTTTTGCTGATTGTTTGTTTCATTTTGTGTTTGTTGATAACTAATTGAAGCAGATCGAGTGTTTTCAGAGAAAAACTTGGGATAGAATGTTGTTTTATCATAATGATTTTCATCAAAGTAATTTTCTTCATTAAGATAATGTTTATTATATTGTTGTGATGCTGAAGATTCTGTCTTGTTTTCTTCAATAAAACATCTATCTAAATCATCCCATTTGTAAGTCGTTGAGGGTTTACCATACTCTTCAACATACCGATGGTAAGACGAAGGTTCAACAGGTTCT